ACCGTACAGGACGGCGCTATCCACGCGAGCTCGCCCGGTGCAGCCGGACGTGTGGGTGGAGATGGGTACAGCCTGCCAAGGGCTGCGTCTGTTTACGTTTAAAGCGGGTGAATAATCTGTCTATTCCAGAGTAAAACCAAGAAATAAATGGTGACAAAGCCCCTGCTCCCCCATCCCCCCTCCCCCGCCCCCAACATTTCAATGCTAAGAAAAGCTGGTCTCTGCTTTCAATGCTAGTCAGATACGACTATGCTGGGCTTTGTTATACCTTCCTCCCTTGTTTCGTATTATTTCCCTTTCCCTTCTCCCTCCACTATAGTTTTACTTTCTTCCTTGAATTTTTCATCTTAAAACAGATCAATCCTGTGGTAGTGTATGTGTTTATGTAAGCAAACTCAAATCCTTTTAGAAATGAGGGGAGAGTGTAAACACACAAAGAAACCAATGAAAATACGTGTGAGTACATGTTCACAACTAGGTTCACATTTCATTAATATTAACTTTCATAGTTGGAATCCTTAATAATGCTTCCTTAACAATGACTTCGATTTCACAGTTACCTAAACAAATGGCTTTTTATTCACAGAAATTTAAGCAGAATCTTAATCCCTGAACGTTTAGAGTTAATGACAGCTACCATTTATAGTGTATTTACTATGTTTGGGGCACTATGCAGAGCACTTTACATGTATTATCTTATTTAACTTTCACATAACAACCTTTTGAGGCAAGAACCCATTTTACGCGTGAGAAAACTGAGTTACAGAAAGCCTAAGTATATTTGCCGAAGATCAGAGGTTAGATACAGAATTTGGTTCCAGCCAGTCTGATTGCAGAGCCAGTAGTGTTAGTGGTTAAATGATATCATTGTAGTCCCCAAACTTGTCTGCTTCAAAAAATACTGGTGACTGGTTCCCACATCCAGAGATTGTGGTTTAATTGTTCTGGAATGTGGCCTGGGTGCTGGAATTTTAAAAGTATTCCCAAATTATTCTAATCTGCAGACAAGTTTGGAAACCATTGTCACACTGCTTTGCTTGGGACGTTAGCTAACAACAGCCACCTGAGAGCTATTCCATCCTATCAGGTAGTGAGTTAGCATGGAAAGTGTGTTTTCTAAATTAGGGAGTGAGAGTTTTACCTATGGGAGAAATTATAGCATGAAAGGGCATTCATTATTCATTTATATTACCAGTATTTACAAATAATATTTTAGGATTCAATATTATACTGATTCTCTGACCTGTGTATATAAAGCTGCAACCAAGGTTGGTAATACGTGAAAAGTCCACAGAACAAGCGTTGCAACTTTCAAGGGTGGCAGCGTGACTGAGCACCATGGGCATTTTTGTAGATTACTCTCTCCTTAGGTCTGAGACAGTTTAGCCTTAAAAAGTAGAGCAATAGAAAATATCTGAATTTAAAAGTTCCATTTAGTTTCTTTTCTTTTGAAGTTCATAACCTGTCTCTCTTATTAGGCTGTAAACTCCTTGAGAAGAGAGACATATCTTGCTCACTTGCATTCTCTCAGCACTCACATCATGCTTGCACATATGAGCCAAATCAATAGTTGAACACTTGGTCTACACTGCACTATTAAAGCCATGGATGCACAGATGTTGTAACTAATAATTCTAACTATCATTCATCTACTCTTCAACTATTGTATGCATATGCCAGGTGCTTTACGTACATGTCTCTAATCTTTGCCCAGACCTATCTGTTATCCTTCTATCTGAGAGGAAACTGAATCTCAGAGAAATTAAGTACTTTGCCCAAGATTGTACAGTTGAGTAAGTAACAAAACTTGGGTTTGAGCCATGTCTGTCTGATGCCAAATTGCACCTGCTTTCCTTTACCCCAAACACTGAGAGGGTAGAACATGTTATTTCAGAACTCTCAGATGTGTTTTAAAAATCCCGGGAAGAGACTCTGTCTGGAGCAGTCTGTCATTTTGAGGCCTATTATAACAGGCCTTTGGATACCTTGGCCTGTAGCATTGCCTATGTTTTCCCACATGAGAAAAACATGACTCTAAACATGATTTTTCATTTGCTTTGCTATATCTTCCGCTTTGCCCATTTCAGGTTTACCCAATTTCTCACTTTTAAAGACACCACAATGAACATTTTTGTGCCTAAATCTTTGCCCACACTTGGAATTCTTTCTTTTTTTTTTTTTTCCTTTTTGTCTTTTTTCGTGTCTGGCAACGGATCACAACCCTCAGTGTCACGCCCGTACCGGACCGGGACCGGCAACGGGATTGCAACCCTCGGTGTCGCACCCACCCCTCGCTCAGCCAGTGAGCGGCCGGTCTGTATGTGGGATCCGAACCCTCGGCGGGAGCGCCGCCACACTCCCAAGCGGTGCACTGTAGCAGTGCACCACCGGGCCAGCCCTGGAATTATTTCTTTAGGGTAAATTTGTAGAAATGAAGTTACATTAAGGAATATAAATATTATTGACTTATGCTGCCAAATTTTTTTTCGTAAAGTGTGCTAATTTAAATTTTTACCAGCAATGCACAAGGGTATTCATCTTTTTAAAAAAAATCTTATTTATTATTAACATATTCATTATTACAAATCGTGATTTTTTCCTTATGCCCTTTACCTGACCTATCACTCCCCAAATCCCCTCCCTTCCCCCCCCCCATCTCTAGTATCCTTAGGATTGTTCTCTCCTTTTGAAAGTTCAACATATTGTTGTGGTCTTCTCTCTCTCTCTCTTTCTTTTCCTTCTTTTCCTTGCTTCTTTCTTAGCATCCAGTTATGAGTGAGAACATGTGGTATTTCCTTGTCTCTCCTATTTTATTTAACATAATTTTCTCCAGACTCATCCATGTTGCTGCAAATGGCAGAATTTCATTCTTTTTTATGGCTGAATAGTATTCCATTGTGTATATATAGCACATTTTCCTTATTCAGTCGTCCATCAACGGACACTTACATTGGTTTCATATTTTGGCTATTGTAAATGGAGCTGCAAATGAACATGCGAGTGCAGGTATCCCTTCATAATTTCCATTCCTTTGGATATGTGCCCACTAGTGGGTTTGCTGGATCATAAGGCAGTTTTATCTGTAGTTGTTTGGGGAACCTCCATACTGTTTTCCACAATGGCTGTGCTAATTTACAGTCCCACTAACAGTGTAGAAGAGTTCCCCTTTCCCCACATCCTCACTGGCATTTGTTATTCTTGGTCTTTTTAATAATGGCCAGTCTAACTGGGGTGAGATGATATCTTAATATGGTTTTTGTTTTTTTTTTAAGGTGACCTGTAAGAGGTTCTTAACCCTTGACTTGGTGTTGTCAGCACCACGTTCTCCCGAGTGAGCTAACGGGCCATCCCTACATAGGGATCTGAACCTGTGGCCTTGTTGTTATCAGCACCACACTCTCCCAAGTGAGCCACTGGCCAGCCCTTCAATATGGTTTTGATTTGCATTTCTCTGATGGCTAGTGATGCTGAGCATTTTTTCATGTACCTGTTGGCCATTTATATGTCTTCCTTTGAAAAAATGTTTATCTCCTTTGCCCATTTTTTAATTGGATTGCTTTTTTATGGTATAGTTGTTTGAGTTCTTTATATATTCTGGATATTAATCACTTGTCAGATGTATAGTTTGCAAATATTTTCTCCCTTTCCGTAGGTTGTCTTTCTACTCTGTTGTTTTCTTTGCTGTGCAGAAGCTTTTTAGTTTGATATAACCCCATTTATTTATTTTTACTTTTGTTGCTGTGCTTTTGGGGTCTTATTCATAAAATCTTTGCCCAGTCTTACTTCCTGGAGTGTTTCCCCTATGTTTTCCTTTAGTAATTTTATGGTTGTGGGTCTTATATTTAAGTCTTTAATCCATTTTGAGTTGATTTTGGTATACGGTGAGAGGTACAGGTCCAGTTTTATTTTTCTGCATATGAATGTACAATTTTCCCAGCCATTAATTGAAGAGGCAGTCATTTCCCCAATATATGTTCTTGTTGCCTTTGTCAAAGATCAGTTGGCTGTAAATATGTGGGTTGATTCCTGGGTTTTCTATTCTGTTCCACTGATCTGAGTGTCTGTTTTTATGCCAGTACCATGCTATTTTGGTTACAATAGCTTTGTAATATAATTTGAAGTTGGGTGATGTTATGCTTCCAGCTTTTTTTTTTTTTTTTTGCTCAGGATTTCTTTGGCTATTTGGGATCTTTTGTTGTTCCCTATGAATGTTAGAATTGCTTTTTCTATTTCTGTGAAGAATATCATTGATATTCTGATGGAGATTGTATTGAATCTGTAGATTGCTTTGGGTAGAATGGACATTTTCATGATGTTAACTCTTCCCATCCAAGAACATGGTATTCACCTTATCCTACCCTTCTAGCATCATTATCCTTTGCAAACAATTTTTGCTAATTTGATAGTTTAAAAAAATCTCATTTTTTATTTGAATTGTTTTGATTACAAGCAAGTTTGAACTTATGTTTATTATCTAATTTATCTTATTTATGTTTACATATTAGCTCTTTATATGTCTTTATGTATGAATTCAGTTTCTATTCTTTATTTAATTTTTGAAAACAACCTTTGTGTTTTTCTTATTAACCTATATTCTTATACTCTTCAAATATTAAGATATTAAGTTTTTATGATACTTTTGCCAAATATTTATCCAAATTTTTTCCTTTTTAATTTTAATTTTTGACATATGGAAGTTTTAAATTTTAAATATTTTTATCTTTTTATATTGTCCTCTATGTCTTTTGTCACCTTTAACCCTAGAAGATTAAAATCCAATGATCAAGTAGATATTCTTACATATGTTTTCTCTAATTCAATTAAAAAAAAATTTAAGTTGATTTAGCTGTGGCGTGTTTTGGTACATGGTGTGACATATTTAATTTGGCCATTTCCCCAAATATTCCTATCTCCTTTCTCTTTTTTTTGTGGTGTTATCTTTATCATGTGTTTGATTCCTGTTGAATCTAATTTTTGTTTTTACTTTTATTTTCTTTTAGCAAATCCTGTTTCCTGTGACTTTGTAAGGAAATGGTAAGAGTGCATCTCTAGTACTATTCTCACAGACCTAAACTAGTGGGCCAGCCAAGATGGGGTGGACTCATTCTGGGGCATTTGAAATGAAAGTCTATCTTGAGGTTTTCTCAAAGGAGATTCCTATGCTTTCTCTTTGTCGTAAAGCCCTTTTCTAATTACAATTCCTATGGGAAGAGGAAAGATAGAAGATAAATTAAAAAGTGAAAGGGGAGAGATTAAGATGTAGGAAAACTCTTCTTATATTCACTCAGTTTTTCACTTGTTTGCTAGATACTAGGTTTGTTGCATACCAGATCTGATCCTTTAAGGGACTTGGGATTTTGCATTGACAATCTCATGTAATAGATTTTGTGAAGCTCCAGGCCAATATATCCCAATCCCCCTTGTGTTAACTCAGGTACAATATATAATGAAATTTTAAGAAAGTGTTCTCTATGAAAAAAAAATTTTAAGTGTGTGTGTATGTGTATCATATACAATGTTCAAAAATAAATGCCTCCTGAAAATAGATGCTTACCCTTGGTTTGGCTAAGATGTAGTTAAAAGGAAACAGAATAGAATCCTTAAGGAGAAATACCAAGGGTCCATATCAATGGTTCCTATAGATAAGAAGTAAACAACATCAGATTTTGTTTTTTGTTTTTAATTAATTTTTTATGAATATTATTATTATTTGCATTCTAAGATGCTGTTGTGGAGCAGTTAGGGGAGGGGGGAGAGGGGAAGGGGTGGAAAATTGGGTGGGAGGAGGAGGAAGGAGGGGGGCATGATCAAGGCCCCTGACACCACCCTTATTCTGGCAGGGGAGACCAAGGGGCTTCTAGCGGTGGCTCGGTTCTTGCTGGGATGATGCAGATATTGGTGGTCATTGCTGGGCTGGTTGGGGATGTGGGCAGGTGTGTCTGAGGCCCTTGGCCCCCTACCTCCCTGGCTTGGGAGTCCGAGGTGCTTCCTGCAATGCCTTGGTGGTTGTTGCGGGGCTGGTTGCAGATGTCGGGGCCAGAATTTGTTTTTATCCAGTCTTTGAAGAAGTGGGTTAAAACCATTCCTATTTATTGTTATTATTCAACTCATTTATGCTTATTACTTAGACTTATTTAGAATTTTCTATTTACTGTGCTTTCTAGTTTTTCCTACTCTTTCAAGCAGTAAACACCTTATTTTTTGTAATATTTTGCAGTTAAAATTTTTTTTCTTCTCACAAGAATCTTAAAAGTAGATAGGACAGATATTTCAACCAAGTTTTACTGAGAGAAAATGAAAGTCAGAGAAATTACATTGCTTTCCTAAGGTTATATGGTGGCTGAGCAGTGGAGCCGATAGAACTAACATTTACTGAGTATTACAAACTATGCACTCAAAATACCATAGTACTTTAAATAAATGATGTATGCTGAGTGAGCAAACACTCCTGTGGCAAAACAGGCAGTGGAAATAGTTTCTACCTAGTAAGTTTTTATACTGAAAAAAAAAGATTGTGAAGAGAGTTGTTTAAAAAAAAATTTTTTTTGGTTATTGTTATTATTTCTTATTGCTCTTACTTTTGTTTGGTTACTTTGGGGTTGATTAAATGAGGAAATTGTGCTGTCTTCATGTGATCTATCTCTACAGTCTCTAAAAAATTCTTCTTTCTTTTACAGATGTGTTGTGCCTAATTAGTTATTTGAAAGAAAACATTCTCTGAATATCAGGTAGTAAAATATAAAAGAGCATTTTGATTGAAAGAATTATTTGATTGCCCCATCAGCTGAAATCACTCCCATAGTTGATGCTGTATAAATGTATATTTATTGCTGTGCACCCAAAGTAGTGATTTCAAAAACTTTCATAGCTATTGGCAAACCATAGGAGACTAGTTATCAATGAAGACATAGGACATCAATGTAATCCTTATTTTAAAAAATCTGCCTTCAATGGGGGCTGGCTGGTTAGCTCAGTTGGTTAGAGCTCAGTCTTACAACACTAAGGTCATGGGTTTGGATCCCTGTACCGGCAAGCTGCAAAAAAAAAATCTGCCTTCGAGAGTTAAAACCCTTTAACAACATTCTTTTGTTTCTGCACAGGAACATGACAAGACACTATGAGCTAATGCATTTTAAGGAGAGAAGGGCAAACCATGTTAAGATTAAGAGCTGTAGGTTGGAGATATGTTGATATAATGCATAAAAAGTGAGTGAAAAGGCAAAGTATTAAAACTTCACACAGAATTAACAAATGTTAATGATTACTCCCAGTTGAAATAATCCAATTTAATGATCTACAGGAATAAACTAGGAAACTGTCAACAGCCTTGCATAAAATGATGCATTAAAAAAATCCCCATTATTTTGCTGGTGAAGAAAAGGTCGCGAGGGAAATCTTGGCTCAGGGGTGATGATGGAAGTCAGAAGCCAATTTACTTTAAAAGATCAGTATAGGGCCGGCCCGTGGCTCACTCGGGAGAGTGCGGTGCTGATAACACCAAGGCCCCAGGTTCGGATCCCATGTAGGGATGGCCGGTTTGCTCACTGGCTGAGCGTGGTGCTGACAACACCAAGTCAAGGGTTAAGATCCCCTTACCGGTCATCTTTTTTTAAAAAAAAAAGATCAGTATATAATAAGATGTTTTGTCTGCAACTATGACTTACTTTCTCCTCCACCGAGCCACCCTCCCTAGAAAGTTGGCACAGGTTATTGCAGTAGGGGTCATGTGGTACCTGCATGGCAAAGCTGCTCTTTTGTTGAATAAGAATGTGAAAATTTTCTTTCTGGCAATGGACAATATCTTCATTGTTTTTAGATGAACGTGACTAGGCATGACTAGGGGATTGCATCATATCAATTACATAGCAGATGCCAAACTTCACCACCAAAGGATCTTTTGGTTATCTCTACCTAGAACCAGAGTCTCATGTTTTGAAAGTTTTTTATTGTTGTTGTTCACAAAACAAACATTTGTTAATTTTTTAAAAAAATTAAGGACACATATAAATTTTAATCTGTCTCCTATCACAGTCTGGCGGGTTAGCTCACTTGGTTAGAGTGTGGTGCTGATAACACAAAGGTCAAGGGTTTGGATCCCCGTACTGGCTGTATGAAATAACATATGGAGTTGATATAATTCAGAAACACATTTGGTATTTGGGGTATTCTCTGCAGCCTTATTGTGGATAATGTAGGATTCCATTTGACTTTTTTGAAATGCTCTAATGGTTGGGGACTCCCATTATTATCTTCATAGATCCCCTAAGGATTCAGACTTGAAGTTGGGAACCCTTGAATTAAGCAGCAGAGACCTAAGAGACCAAACCTCAAAAATGTTGCAGTAGGAAAGGGAGGAGTTAGAAGAGTCCAGAGTGTGAGATACTGGGGAAGAAAGGGCCCCAGCAGCTGGGTTGGAGGTGGGATACCATTCTTATTACCTTCTAACCTGTATTTTATCCAGAAACCTCTGTGAGCAATAAAACAATTTATCTTCAATGTATCTGTTTATCCAGCTTATTGATAATTCTATGATCTTCCCTCATAGGAACACTTAAACTAAGTTAGTATTTTAAGCAATTAAGTGTCAGCTCAGGTCAAGGCACTCAGCATTTACTACATACAAGGTATCATGCTAGGTGCTACAGGTGAGAAAGGGAGAAAGACCTAGCATTTACTGAGTACCCACTCCAAGGCGAGCACGTGCTAGGCACACAATCCTTTAAAGATGGATACAATTATTTTCATTTATAGATGAGGCTAACCACAACTGGCCTCCTGTTGTTTTTGAAAAAATATAGGCATGCTCTATCCCAGAGCCTTGGAACTTGCTATTACCAGTGGAATGAAATTGTCTTTCTCTGAAAAATCTGTGTAGTTAGTCATTATTCAAATGTAACTCAATCAGTAATGCCTCTTTGACCACCCTATTGAAACTGCAACCCTCTCCTCACCATATATTACTTATACCCCTTACTTGCTTTATCTTTCTTTATAGCTCTTATTGCCATTTAACCTACTATGTATTTACTTTATTCCATTTATTGTCTGCCCTGACTTGAAGGCAAGGATTTTGGTCTGTTTTATTCACCAATGTACCTCCAGTCCTAGAACACTACTTGGTTCATAGTGAGTACTGAATAAATACCTGCCAAATCAATGAACTAAAGCTCAGAAAGTTAACTTGTCCAAGTATAAGAAAATGGCATTTCATTTTAAAATAATAAAACCCAGAATCTTCAGGTTTGTTGCTAGAATAATACTGTCTTAGATAAGAAGAATCATTGGACCAAATGCCCATGTCCCAAAGATGGATCACTGCCACCACCACACTGGCCTTGGGAGGGACTGTTCCACTGTTAATATTATGGCCTGGTCGTGTGCATGGAATCCTGACTTGTATAACTCCCGCAGTACAGCTAAGAGGAGGCTGTGAGGGTGAAACAAGTCATTACTAAAGGCTGAAGGCAACACAAGTGGAGTAAACAGAGTAATGTGGAAATACATAATCTGACTGAAGGATTTAGCTAGTTCTTCGGGGCAGATGTCCCAGTTTTGTGAATGTGCCACTTTGGGAGCTGCTGACTACTCATCCTCACTTGCCTCCTTCTATTTTCTGAAAGGAGCTTCATGGTGCACCAACCACCACTTAATTAGGAAAGGCTCTTCTTCTCATAATGGTTTGTATGTGCTGTGTCAGGGAGCACATGAAGCGTTTGGAGCTTATTAAAGACTTCAGGCTCTTTAATATGTTATGGAGAATGCTTTCCCCCAAAACCTCCCTCTTTGTCCATCAAGGTGCTTTCCTTGAGTAATTCTCTCTGCCTATTGACTCACCCTCAATTAGACTCCCTAGGAGGTAGGAGTGACAATAGTTTGATGGGTTTGGGAGAGAGAATTGGCCCTTCTGGGTCCTCTCACTTTGGGACCATAGAGAGTGATCTTTGTGATCTGCTTTCTGTCATATATCAAGCTTAGCCTCTGTAGTGGATTGAATTATGTCCCCCCATAACTCACTAAAGCTTGAATTATGTCCCCTAAGTTTTATGTGTTAGAAACTCATCCCCCACTGTGACAGTTAAGAGGGTGAGAAATCCTATTATGGTAATTGAAAGGTGGGGCCTTGAAGAGGTGATTAGATTGTAGGACTATACCATAGTGAAGTGATGAAAAATGGTGGTCAAGGACATGGTTCTGAGGACTTTAAAAAGGAGAGAGATGACAGGTTTCTGGTAAAGATGGCAGAATAGATGGTCCCCAGCATCACTTTCTCCCACAAATCAACCAATTTACAACTATTAAAAAGCAACAACAGTTAAGCTGAGGCTGCTAGGACCCAGGGGAAGAGGAGGAGAGACCTACAGAGTGTACGAAGGCGGGAAAAGCCACATTGAGAGAAAGAAAGAACTGCTCCGACCATTTGAACCCTACCCACTTCCAGGCTGGAGCTGCTGAGCACACGGAGCAGGAGCTGGCAAAAGCCACTGCTGTGTCCTTTGTATGAAGATGCTTGAAGGCTGCAGGGGAGAAGGGGGTCTTGGTGGCACCAGGCCAGCAAGACTACTGACAGGGTTCCCATGGACACACATGAGAATGAGGAGCCACAACAACTGAAAAAAAGGAGCCACTCAGAGACCAGTGAGTCATCACAAGGGACTGGCTCAGGGCCTGCCCCACGGGAAGTGTTTGAAGTGTGCAGTGTAGGGGAGATGGGCCCACGGGGGGAACACTGGGACACAGCAAGGACAGCTGATTTGGCCTCCAATCAGCACAGGACCATTCAGTGGAGAGTGGTCAGGAATGTAAAACTGCAGGGGTACAGTTTGCTGAAAAGACTCAGGCCCAGACCAGAGTTTCTACACAACCCAGGTGTACCTGATCTCATGAGAGCTGGGAGCACCTATAAAGTCAATAATTAAAACCTGAGCTGCACAAAAAGCCTTCCCCCGGGAATCAGCAGCAAAGCAGCAATTTAGCTCAACCACGCAGCTCAAGTGCTGGTCTCCACAGGAAGTTCCCCCATTTTAGAAGTAAGCAAAGGATAAATAATTAGTTCCAGTGCAGAGTTTAAGTGGTAGGAACAGCAAATAATCCAACACAGAACTGAAAGAAAGAACAAAATACCCACAGACCAAAGACAAAGTTTGATCTTAACCAGTAAAGGTTTCACATCACCAGAGAACACCTATAACACCGAGAAGGACTAGAAATCCCCTGGGCTACTGTAGGGAAAGTGAAGAAAAATGGTCATGGTCCCTCAGATGCTCAGAATCTTGCCAAGCATTTGATGTAAATGGTAACTGTGCACATGTGCCCAGGTGTTCCTTGGCTATTGTCTGATGTGGATGCATGTGGGCACCCAGATGTTCCTGGGTTATTGGACTTAAGTATAATGGATGAATGGCTCTGATCCACAGTGCCTCCCACCCCTGGGATGCTCCGGGTGGGGGACCACAAGGAGGCCACTACTGCTGCTGGAGACTGTTGCTGCAAACTCTTGCTGCCAGGGCCCCCAGGGTGTCCCTGGGAGGCTACTGCTGCTTCTGCTGCAGAAGCTGAGGACCAAGCTCCTGTTGTCTGCTAACAGCTCTTGGGGTCTTTTCTGAATTATCTAGCTTGTGAACTGCATGTGAGGGGTCTGGTGACACAGCCCAGCATGTGAGGGGTCTGGTGACCCAGCCTGGCACATGAGGGGTCTGTGATCCAGCTGGCATGTGCAGGGTCTGGTGACTCAGTCTGTACAATGGGTTTGAAGGGTCTATAGCCCTAGCCCTACAGCTACCAAGCCAGGGAGGGGAGAGGGCTGGGGGCCTCAGCCATGCCCCCCAACACCTGCAACCAGCGCAGCAATGACCAAGACACCATCGGAAGCCCTCTGGTCTCCCCTGCAGGAATGAGGGGGGTCCTGGGCCTCAACCCTGCCCCTTCTCCTTCCTCCTCCTCCCACCCTATTTTCTTTCCCTCTCTCCCTCCCCCCCAACTGCTCTGCAACAATGTCATAGAATGTAAAAAAAAATGTTAATAAATAAACTTAGTAAAATAAATAAATATATAAAAAGAGAGAGGAGTCTGTCTCTCTCTCTCTTCTCTGCCATTTCACAATATGATACC